GAAAATTACTTCTCTATATATAATTGTAAAACATCCATAAAACTACAAAACACAAAATGTCAAACCGCAAGTTTGCATGTATCTTTACATGAACCCAACAAACCTTCATGACAAATTTGGTGAAGACCCATCTACAGGGGGCGAAGTAGTGGTAATAAACGCAAAAACGTGCATAAGAAACATAAAACTGAAGATCTGTATGCGTCTCCCCCCATGGACCCAATGAACCTCCATATTAATTTTGGTTAAGAACCATCCACGGGAGGTGAGGTCGTGGAAAAAACGCCCATAAAAACCGGAAAACGCAAAATGCAAAACTGAAAATTTGTATGTATCGCCCCATGGGCCTAATGAACCTGCATATCAATTTTGGTGAAGATCCATCCACACCCTGTGAAATAGTTACATGAACAGACAACAGACGGTACTATTATATTTATATAGATATTCTTTCAAGTGAAACACCTGATTCTGAAGAAAAAGGTATAAAATATATCAAATGAAAAGAAGACAGCAGTGGCTCAATGAGAAACTGCAATGTCAAGAGATAGCAAGCACCTAAACACCGACTGATAATTTTCTACGAATTAAGTTCAACACTACAGTTTTAAACCGGATCTTAACTGATCATGTTGCTTTTCTATCAAGCAGTGACTCCATTTGACATTTCGTTTCCTCATGCAGAAAAATAAATGGCTGCGGTTGAAACGTGATCAATATATTTTCCAGCATAGTCATGCATGAACTTGAATCGTTTAGCTTCAGTGAACGGTTAAACAAGTAGAAGAGGTAACCATGGAGATGTCTCTGCCCTTTGCTACCCAGGTATCATTTACGTCTGTACGTCCTGGATGTTTATTCTCCAGCAAAGATACGTATCGGAGTTTAACCAACATTCCATTTTCCTATTTTTATCTTATAATTTTTTATTTAAACTATTTTTAAAATGTATAGAGCAAACGTTAATTAAATTTCATAATTATATTTTCATGGCAGCCTGAAATCTCACAGAACATTATTTAGGGACAGCGGTAAGCTTACGGACTTGCAACGCTGAAATCCGGAATTCGATTCCTCGCGGTGGACACAGCAGATAGCCCAATCTATGATCAAACAACAGTTGTTATTGTTTTTGCACGAGAAACCACATGAAGAACGAAGAAAAATATATTAACTAATCATTTTTAATGTCGTAGAAAGGAGCATGGTTTACTCATGGAGATAAGATTTCCTACGTTAACCATAGTTAACATCTCTAAAACCAAATAAAATATGCATATTTTGGCCGACATTAATAAAAGCTACCTGTTTTTGTTATATACGAAACGTTTAAAGGTTGAGCTTTAGACTTAAGAAGAGGTTACATTGTTTTAACAAGTTTTCCCCCTCAGTGGCTCAGCGGTAAGTTTCAGGGTTAAGACGCTAAAAATTGAGTTTCGATATGTGAGCTTAACAACAAACAAACAGTTTTACTTGAAGTTACAACAGCTGCATTTTTCTTGCTTTTAAAATGAAAATTAAATTGCAATTAAAAAAATTAAGACCTTTCTTAAGATAGAAAAGGAAGGTTTTGAATTTTGTGTAACACTGAACGAATATCATTTTCATTTTTTAGTTGTTTCGGACAAAGCTATACATAGTTGTGCTAAGTTCTGAATCGAAAGCCTATTGGAAAAACAATTAATAACAATCACACACCTCCTACTCTTGCCTAATCGAAAAGTGGCATTTGACCGTCCCTCTCATAGCGAACCTATGGCGCCAAAGTGCGGAGGGAATGTTTTTACGAACAGTTTGCGAACCACGAATCCTCAGATTTACAAGCTAGATATTCTAAGCCACACCTGCCTGGCCCTGGATATTATTCGGTATTACAAGACACTTGCATGTTGCGTTAACACTAATTAACGAGAAATACTGTTTAAAATAATACTGTTATTGTTGTTTGTTATTAAGCACTAAGCTGCACAAAGGGCTATCTGTGCTCTGCTCACCACGGGTATCGAAACCCAGTTTCTAGCGGTATAAGTCCGCAGACATACCGCTGTCCACTGGGGGGCAGAGGAGGAAGAAAGACAATGAAAAGCCTGCTTAAAAAGACATTACCCCGTCTCATCTCATGTTTTGTTTTTCCGCATCTAAAAATTATAACAGAGAATTTCGTTGAAACTGCGACAATATTTACCAAGGATGGTGATACTAACAAAAAATATACGAAATCTATCTAGTCTATAAATCTATAAGCCTCCAGAAGTCCGTGCTCATCATCTGGTGTGTTTGCTATTGGAACTTAAGTGACAGCGTTTTGGACTGCTGCATGTATTAATACCAATTCTATTTGAGTAATTTGGAAAGCTTAAATCCTTCACTTGGGAGTTGGGGTGTCTTTGTTTGTATCTGATACAAATCACACTATTGAAGGTGTGAACATCGTAGAAACAGCACAAAATATATATACACATTAACTTCGAGAGTGTATATAATACTATTTTCGTCCAAAAGAGTAGGATTATAAAAAAGTAAAAGATAAAAATATGCAAAATAATAAATTAAAGAACTTATACAGAGAGTTGTGTCACATGACGACCACAGCTGATATAAAGTAGAGGTAGAACACAATGTAACAGAACTACATTTCGACATTGTTTGGCGTGACGTATGTCATGTGATACTACCAAAAACTGGAAAGGGCATGCAAGAGCAATTTCCGACGCAAAATATTTAGTCTGATCATAAAGATATGTTCAAATTGAAGATTTACAGGTTCAAAGATAGATATATTCCTTGTATTTAATGCTAATGAAAAACTGAGAAATGTGAATTAACTTGGGGCACCAGAACTTTCCAGAAAGAGACCTTCAATAAGATGTACCCCAGCCATAGTAAGCAAAGTGCTGGTTCTAGTAACAGGTGAAAATACCCTAACACAACGATCAGTGACAAGAGTAAGTAAGGAAACTAAGTAGGATCTCCCAACAGGGTATATACGTTCACTAAGATAAGACTTCCAGTCACACCTCCTGTTAAACTTTCGCGTATCTAAAGCAGATGGAAAATGAAACAGGTATTCATGCTGTATATAATTAAGTGAGTTTAGATGTGTGTGTGTATTGTTATGTATAGTTAGGTGACTTTTAATAACAGCTGCACCCACTCGGGGACAGTACATAAAGCAATAAAGTAGCTTTTATGTGCCTTATACATTTATAGTTAGGCGAGTTCCACTAATAATGATCTGAGCACAGCCCAGTAGTTAGCCTCTTGGTTTGTGGAGCTTAGGTTCCGTGGTTACACCCCTACACCCCCACCCCCCAAAATAAGATTGTGCTCCATACTTTAACACCATGAATGTTATAAGCGAGATGGTTGTATCTCACAATTCGGTGTGAAAAATTAGTAGCGAAAGAGTTGGCTGCTTATGATTAACTGTTTTCCCTCTAACCTATCACTTCAAAATTAGGGACGGCTAGTGCAGATAGCCTTCGTGTAGCTTTGCACGAAATTCCACAAACAGATAAGCTAATCAGTAATAATAATTTTGTTTCGTTTTTCACAGCTATGTAAATTATTTTGAACTGTTATCTTAGTCTATAGATTTAGGACTAGAAAAATCTCTTAAGGTGTCCTAATGTTCTGATATATTTGTGGTATTACGGCCGAAAATATCAATAATACCAAGAATATTGATCAATCATTTCTACATATTATGAATTTTTATATTGCGATTTGTTTTATGACATACATACCCTTAGTTAGACCAAGATATACAATTAAGTACATTATTTACTAAGTTATTTTTTATTCTAATCTGTGTAATTAGCCTGCTTTGATCAGAAGATATTGATAATCTAAACAAGCCATTTTGTTGAAAATTATCTATGCTACATTTACCTCACTTTTCGATTATTACAAAAAAAGTCCTCTTGGAACACAATCTACACACTATATATTTTAAAGTTCTCATTGTGATAGTACAATGCATATTATTAGGAATATATATTTTCTTTCGTTAATCACTTGGGTTACATATTATTGAAACAGATAATAGCCTGCAACGTTTTTACTGTTATTTTTTAGCCGCGTCATATCGGCTCTGAGTTTCTCAAGTACAAACTTTTAGCTCATATCTCCGTCATCTCTTGACCGATTTGAGATCTAATTACAGTTTTGGACTCAGGAGGTCAAAACACCTTTCAATTAATGTATCTGATCACGCCCAAGGTCTTATAGATTAATTTACTCTAATCCTGCTGAAAAGAATTTCAATTTGAGGGTAGGTTGGTATGGATCTTGATGTGTAATAAAATCGAATCGGATATACGCGCGACCCACACTTGGTATTGCTAGCGTACAAAAACATAGCTAATAAAAAGTGTCATAGATTAATTTACTTTAACCCTGCCTAAAGAAATTTCAAGTGCCGCGGCTGTTGAGGATTTCCTTTTTTTCTTGGAAGAAGCTATCATCCTGGTTAGAGAATAGTGTTCTGATATGTTTAAGGGAAGATAATCTAGACACAAAAGAGATTATCGTTTAATCCTTGCCTCGAGATATCTCCACTGTGTTGTTAGTCTCCAGTAATAAACTGATTATGTAATTTTTGAAGATAATTCGATTTCGTTTTTTTACCTTTCACCTTTTTTCCTGTTCATTCTCTAACACTCATTGTTTGTTATCTTTTATGCTTCCGGTGATGTAAAACTCCTTAAAACCTTCAGTTATAAAGGTCTCTGTTTTGTTACACAACAGCATATCACACGTAAACAAAGAACTTCCTTTGAATCATACACAACAAAACCACTCCCTATCTTAAACCTATCATTAGAGATAAATAGATGGTGGTATTCGATCAGGGTGAATAGCCACTCCTCGCTAACCTCATGAGAAGTGATTGATCTTCGACCTTTTGACTCCCATGTTATATGAGAATTATCAATAAAGGACAATCTATACCAAAAGCTTGGTTACTCGATCGTTTTTTTTTTTCGTTCTCTCGCAATCAAACCGTGCGTCTAAAAAAAATGCTTTGACTTCAGACGAGTCCTATCTCAGTACATTTTATATAAAAACAAACAAAATGTTTTCCATAACTTAATTCCCAGTTGTATTGCGAATCTATTTATTTTGATTATTTGTAATTTAATCGAGAATCGGAGTCTTTCTTTTATAATTTTGTGTTTTCGTTCAGTTTTTGACTTCCATTTACTTTATCATACAGTTTGATTCGTCAAAATTTCGTTCTATACACTTTTAATTCAAATGTCTTATTCTTTAATAATTTCTAAGTTTGATTCTAGTTTCTACTATATCTTATTCGTGTTTCTGTATCCATTTTTCAGCATTTTTCCTTAGTTTAATATGAACCTTTAATGAATTATTAGATGTGCATGATCTGACGGCATTTTTTACTTCTTTTTATCTGTATTTGTTCAGCCAATTTGTATTTATTACTTTGTACTCTAATTCAAGAGGTCGGCTTCCTTTTGATCTGAATTCAACTTTGTAAATTTGTTTAATTTTCATCGTTCAGTTTAATACAAGTGTTACACCTTTCTAACGTTTTAAGTCAGTTTTGAACCTTATTTTTCTGTTGACATGCATTATCAAGTACTTAACTTTATTCATTAAAACAAGTGACCAAAACACAAATAAAAATGTTTCAAAACAAGCGCAAAAACGATAATTTCCTACGTATATCAGAATATTTCAGCTCATATTTTCTTTTTCGAAGCTTAAGAAACCGTGAAAGCTAGTAGCTTGCATGTAAAAACTTTATTGGTTTTACTAAAATCTGGAGGCAATCTGCGGGTCGCGGGTTCGAATCCCCCTCCCACCAAACACGACGCCCTTTCAGCTGTGGGGGCGTTATAATTGGACGGCCAATCCCACTATTCGTTGGTAAAAGAGTATCCCAAGAGTTGGCGGTGGGTGGTGATGCCTAGCTGCCTTCTCTATAGTCTTACACTGCCAAATTAGGGACGGCTAGCGCAGATAGCCCTCGTGTATCTTTGCGCGAAATTCAAAACAAACAAATAAAACTAAAATCTGGATAAATTATAATAATGTTTTTATTTCTTAACACCTATGAACTTAAAACATGTACATACAAAGTACATACAAAAAATAATTTAACCAAGAAAAAAGAAAGTAGATGTTTGTGAACATTACGAACCACAGAAAAAAAATATATTATTGCGCGAACCTAAGTTGAGTTTCTATTATTTGTATAAATACGCTCATAATTTTGAACAAAATCAAACATTAAGCAGGGAAGAGTTAAATGATGTAACTTGAAGAACAACTCCATTTTAACTTCTCATTTAGTAACAAGACAATGCCCCATTAGCTCAGAGGTAAGTCTGAAGGCTTATAACACTAAAAACCGGGTTTCGATACTCGTGATGGGCACAGCACAGATAATCCATTGTGTTGCCTTGTGTTTAATAAACGCAGAACACGCACAATGATAAGGCAGAATCGTAAAATTACTTTTCAAATGACACGTTTGCTCATTGATTTCGAAACCAAATCTTCCATACGTCGTTTGTTTTAGAGGTTTTGAAATACGATTTTCGGCATTTCTAGTTTCTTTCGTCAAAATAATCTAACATACCGAAATTCATAATTTGTACGTGTATTAGAAATACCTCAAAAGAGTTGTTTCCTTCGTAGTTCATTGTAAAATAATTGAGCTTCGTAACTTTCAATGCTAACTTAGGAAACAAACACTGTAGGCCTGTATACTGCGTTTGGTCGGTAAGGTTTTTATACTTCCGGTCCGGAGAGTGAAGAAAGTGGAAACCATTGAATTAATCCTCACACTTTCCTTCAGAAATTCTTATTAATAATTAATAATGTAGTCCTTTCCCATTCACGTAGTGAGTACTTGACCCGCTCTGGTGTCAAGAATGCTAGCTTACTGATTCGCCAGTTCTTATGATATTGAGCCGGTTACCTCAATAAAAAAGTATTATTAATAATATATATTGTTAGAATAAAATAACGCAATATAGTGTTAAAATGCTCTGAATCAATGAGCACTCATAAAAGATATACTAGTGTCAGTGCATGGTGATTTTTTGATGCTTTGTATCAATGTTCAGTATCACTGACAAAAGATATGCCAGTGTCAAGGTGACTTTTATTCTTGTTCTGAGTCATGTCAAGGTGACTTTTATTCTTGTTCTGAGTCAATAACGAGTATCATTTACAAAAGACATGCCAGTGTTCTGGTTACTTCTTCTGGTGTTATAAATCTATTACGAGTATTGTTTCAAAACATTAAATTTTCAAATACCATGTAAACTTTGTTCAAATACACTTAATATCAATCAAAGAAAAATAAAAGCTTACCCTGACTTCACATTCCTTGTGGCAGGTGTACTTGCAAACTGTGGAAAACAACACATTAGTGATTCACTGAGATGATAAATTACACCAATTCAATTGGTTGTTATTTTTATTAGTGAAATCATAAACAACACCTACGTCTATTGTAGTAATAAATGTGTTTTGAAATACATAAAAGACGTAAAATTTTAACTTACAAGTTTGACCATCATTACTTACTATGTATATTCTACAGTTATAGTTCAATGGTAAAAATAAACTACACAATAACACAGTCTTTAACTCTCTGACCAAGAAAATTTTGGGGCATAGCTCTATAATTTGAGAAAAGTTCCTTTACATTTTTGTTGCTGTTCTTGTTGAGGGGACGATTTAGGCCCGTGACGAGAATATTTTCCTTTAACTCCTGCTCACCAGTGGAAAATACAATTCCAGTCATTAGATGAAATTGGATCGTTATAAAACATCCTCGCGTAGATGCTTAATTTGTTAAATACAGTTTCACAACGTTCATTGAACGTAACAGGCGTTTTCTGCTATCAATATAGGATGTCTAATAAGACTGACATCTGTAATTATAGGTAACAACGAGCACCGCATTTTTTGTATCCATCTTTAAGCCTCAACATAATTTATAATCTGAAGTTGCTACAAGAAATCACAAGTTAAAATTACGAGAAACAAAAACCAACTAGTATTTTTTAGATGCGTTAGAAATTTAGTTCAGCAGTTCAACAATATAAGATAAATAAATGGGCACATATTTATGTTCCACACCTTTTATGTGGACTACTTTGCATCTGCGGAGTTATTAATGCTAGAAACTGGCTTTTGGTACTCGTGGCGGGTATACACAGACAGCTCTGCGCTTAAGTACAAATAAACAAGCTACTTTTCATAAGTTCTAACACGGTCTGATTCACAACTGAATTAACAAGCGGAGCTGGATGTTCATTTTCTAATATTCTTCTTTATATTTATGCTAAACTGGAAATAAAAGCATAACTGGCAATTCTATAAATTCTAGTATATGGTAGTTATAAAATTTCGTGTAAAGAATTCTGTATCAATGACAAGTATCATTGGTAAAATATATACCAATGTTCTGGTAACTTCTTTTAATATTATGAATCGGTGAAGAGATCGTGACCTGAGAACGAATATGGGCTATCGATAACAATGCACAGTAAAAACCATTTCCAAATCTTGTAATTAGCGTATTGAGAAAAGGAGGGACGCTCTGGTTATCAAATTCAATAAGGGCGTGAGTTTGAATAAAATTTTGGAAAATTAAATGTATTCTAAGCATGAAGTGGGATAAAACAACGATTTGAAATTAAGTAATCATATTTTATCGTTTCGTGTTTTGGATACTTCAAATTCAATGTGGTAGAAGATTTCCCAACTAAAATAAAACTTTGACTGTTTTTGTTGCGAATTCTAGACGATTTTTAAAGACTAATCTCGGGAAACCATTAACAGTCTTGGCATTTTGGAAGACCAAATCTGTTAGTAGAAATTCCTGTAAATACCAGGGTGAAATTCTGCCGGTACTGAGAAGCGAAACCTATTTTTTAAAGCTGTACTAGTACCGGGACTTATTTGAGCCGCTTTGACGTTGTTTATGTTTACACGTAGATTTTTTTTTCTTTTCAAAAACAAGTCCACTTCACCCAGTTGAGTACCTCTACTTATTTTTTGATAATTTAACCCCTGGTCAAGACTAATCTTATTTTCTGTTATTGTTAAACCAGGCCTAGGCCTATGTTTTATCGTTTATCCTACCGTTCATTTCGTTACGTATTTGCTTGTTTGATAATTTCCGGTTGAAACTCTTTCCGAGGAACCTCAGTGATACAAGTCCTTTCCTGATTAAACCAGTTTATTCTTTTTGTAATACACAGAATTTCCACAGTCACTTTAAACTTAACAACCTTTATAACACACGTTATAAATCACAGTGATTCACACACTTTACTTACGGTGCCTACTGTTCGCTGGACTCAATTATCTATCTCTTCAATCCCGCTGATTTTTCTCGCCAGGCTTACATACTAAAAAAAGGGCGTCTCGAATGCACTCGGGCCTTCATGATCATTCGAGAAATTTCAGCGCGCATGCTCCCAGAGTCACGCGACTTCCGCTGTCGTAACAATATCCAGTTTACTTTCGACCCTGTCTCTCGATGCTAATTTAATAGTTTTTCATATCCAGTTTGATTTCGACCCTGTCATTCGATGGTAATTTAATATTTTTTTCGGTTTGTTTTTGCTGCCAATTCGACCTTTATTTACAATTTAACTGAAAATTCGTTACACATCGCGTTTCTCCAATTGGATTGCCTTACAATAAATATTAAAAAAAATTAGGTCTACCCCCAACCCTTCACTGTTTACTTTTTAGCGCCATCTAGTAGTTACGTTACTCCTTTTAAATGATATTATTTGAAAGGTTCTTAAATGCTGTTGATCGTTTTTTTATGTTTTTGGATATTTGAATAATTTTAGATTTTCAAACAGACTATGTGGTATACTTAATGTTATTATTATATCAGAATTATGGAAAATACTTATTTCATATTCCATAAATGTAATCTACACTGAAACGATCTCAACCGATGTAATAGTGTAAATGACACACAATTTTCTGAACTTAGCTTTGTTAGAAGCTCAGCCACTCAAAAGCAACGAAGATAACGTAACTGAAAATCTTGATTTACAAATTATATTGAAGAAAAAACGCTCAATGATGAATTAAATTCTTCCATTCCTAACCTAAATTGGATCGGGCGTGGCCGAGAGATTTACTTAACTTTGATCAAGATAATAAAGAAGTTATTAAATATTATCTCACCGCTCCGATATGATCACGATGATGCTGGGATTATTAGAAATTATCTAACTGCTCTTATATGACCAAGATGTTGATAGAATTATTAAAGATTATCCCTTATTAAAATATTGTTCCATCAAAACTTTATTTCTCCAAGTAATATATTGATTACGTTAAGTTTAATATATTTCCGCAATTGTTAACTGAGGGCTTATCACAAAAAAAAGGATTTAGATAGCCGCGGTGGGCACAGCACATATAGCTCATTGTGCAACTCTGTACTTAATGACAAATAAATCTAAACATAATTTTTAGCTACTCTGTTAAAAAAAACATTTAATTATCACAATAGAACCACTACAAATAAATATCTAAATACACCTTAATTTTACTTTATTTGTAATCACTGCAAAATATTGGTCTCGAGATCACTTTTGAGTTTTACAGGATGTTTATATTGCAGTGAATATCATTTATTTAGTGTTTCATTGACAACTCTGCTGCAAGTCAATGCTAATAAAAATAACTTCAGGGAATGCCTACCCTATAAATGAATAGAGTAAGTGAAAAATAAAATTTGCTATTTTGTGATTAAGAGCTATAAATTTGAGTTTTCATAGTGAGTTTATGACGAGACAAAATAATTATAAAGTTAGTGTCTCAGAAGCCACGAGACAAAAAAAAACAAAAAAACTATAGACGTATTATATTAATAATTAAATAGTGTTTTCTTTTCACTTTGGATAACGTAACAAGCTTCGTCCACACAGGCTCGTATGAAGAAAATATTTCAAAGCGACTGCAGTGACCTTTTGGTATTGGGCGAGTTATGTAGTGAAATTCAGAGGTAAGACTGTGTAGAATTCCAGGATGAATTCTAAACTAACACTGGATTCAACAGAAAACTGAGGAAGGATACAGTAGTCTCCCAGGTCAAATTTTAACTTTATAAATGAATTTTTCGATATTTTTCATAAAAGAATATCACATGGCATTTCACACCTGCAACTTGTACAATGGCCTCTGTTTCTTGTTTTTCAAGTTATGGTATTCAACGGATTAGCCTATGTGAATGTGATTAGGTAACAAGACTGCTTTGTACCTATTCGTTTTCCGTTTCGCTCCACTACGTGATGAAAATCTGTGTTGGGGAACTAGTTTTGGTGGCACAGCTAGGGTTGCTCGTAAACTTTGTTTTTTGTCTCTTAAGTTACTGTTACGTAACTGTTAATTTTCCGTAGAAATTCTTTCCGAAAAAC